TTGGCAGCCAAACCCCCCCCCCCCCCCCAGCTTCTCACTGCACTTGCCACATTTAAATGCTGTTCTATAAGTGAGGAAAAGTTGTGTAGCTTGTGTGCATAACACCAGCAACATTTTTAACTCTGTACTTCTTGCTGAATTAATAAACTTGCAGAGTGATAAAGAACAGTGAAGTAACCTGATTTGAGGACAGCTCTCCCAAGGAAAAGTCATCCTGAGAGGGATGTTAGCCTTGCAATGCATGAGCTCAAGCTCTACAAACTCATCCCAAAGAAGCCCGTTCTCTCTGTATTAAATACCTCTGTGGCCAGTTGACAAACGAGCTGTAAGCTCAGCCTGTTGGGTGTCAGCTTTAAAATGCAGCTGGAACCTCAGTACGTTCGTGAGTGTGACCCACTGTCATACTGACAGTGACCAGTCACCATGACAAACCCCCAAGGGACACAGGGATTGTCCCCTGTGAATGTTTTCTGCTCCAGACTGGCTTCCCTTATGGATAACAAGCTTTAGCCAAATAGAAATTACTGGGCCAAGACACAGGGAACTGAATGGATGGCACAGCAAGTGTGCTGCAGGTGGGAAACATGAGCCCCACACTCCTCCAGCCCCAGCAGGTGGAAATGGGAGACTCCCCAGAGTCCACACTTCATCCAAAGCGGCAGCCCTTTCCAACTGTGGGGAGGGAAAGGAGCCAGATACATGGAAAGGCCATGGCTGAAGGATCTTCACAGGGTGAGGGAACCCAGGGAAATCGCTATTCCATGCAATGTCCATACTATTGGGCACCTCCAACAGTTGTTAGTTGTGGTCTTTTTCCACCTACATTTTTAGAGACATTTTGAAACTGCCCTGGGTGGAAGAGGCTGGAGCAGTGCAGGAGAGAGGGGAAATCAAGGCAATAACTGTAGCACATCCCTTCCGAGCGTGCCCAGAATGACAAGCCTGGTCAGATGGATGGAAATGGATCTAAATTCCACATCTCCGCCTTCATCCTGCAGACAGCACTGGGGGTGGGGATGAGATGCATCGGCCCAGCCCCAATCCCATGCAGGGACTGACAGAAGTCAATGAAAGTGTTCCACTTTGGAACGCTTTCATCTGAACCCTGATTAGCATGTCTTGCAGGCCCCGTGTGATACTCACATTTGCTCTCTTCCTTCGTCCAGGCTTTTTATTTGTGTTTCTCTTTAGTCTGTAGCTTCAAGTCAAGTCAGAGCAGGAGTTGACCAGAGCACAGGTGGGGAAGAGGGCACAGGCCCCTGGGGCCTCCACTGGGCTGCACCCAGTGGCAGGAGATCCTCTACAAGCCCCTGGACCATGGAGACTTACAGACCCACCTAGGCCAGGGCCTGACGTTCAGTGCAGCAGAGGCACAGAAGTGGGATCGGGCCCCAGCCTGGCCTGGCCAGGTCTGGGACTCTTTGTGGTCCAGAGGCATGTTTGGGGGATGGGGTGCTCCTGCCGCTGGGCACATCTCGGTGGAGGCCCTGGGAGCCCATTTCTCTCCCCCACCTGTGCTCCGGGTGCAGCAGGCAGCCTGCAGCAGCAGCAGCCTCCTCCCACAACACAGGTAGGGGGGCCTGGACCCCCAGAGGGGGAGCTGCACTCCCCCTCCTCCCATGCACCCCTGGATTGTGGAGACTTCCAGGTGCCACGTGTGTGTCTGCCCTGGTGGCCTCCACATTAAGGCCAATTTGCTGCTTGAAGGTTTTCCAGGCAGAGTCAGTGTTTCCCTTGGTTCTAAGCAGCATGTGTGTCTATGCATGTGCATGTGTGTGGTTGGAGGGGGGTGGCAGCAAAGGAAGCTACTTTTCACTTTACGAGTCAGTCACTGTACAAGAACCCATCCCAAATCAGGGACTCAGACTGGGCAGTCGCACCATCCCACAGGCACTGGAATCTGAAAGTAAACCAGGTTCAACCCTAGCCCAGCCTCCTAGGAGCCACACAACACCCCTCCCCCACCCCTTTCCCACCTCCTCCCACAAAGAAAGGGAAATGGGCTTGGGCAGAAACATTTACAGCAAGGGACAGAATCCTTTGCAGGGGCAGAAACCTTTGCAGCAAGGGGCAGTTCCCTCTGGCAAAGCAACATTTTTGAGGATGCTGGTCTCTGAGGGGCAGGACCTTTCTCCCATTCAGGTCTGCGCCCATATGGAAAGCTACAACGTCTATCCCCAGACACACTGTGGGCTATTAACCAGTCTGCCCCTGTCTCTCAGCCAGTCTCCTGGCATGTTCCTCTGTCTGTCTATCATTAGGAAAACTCCTTTCCTCTCTGATCTGCTCCAACCACAATATAGCACCAGTTTGTTCTTAGGATTTCAGTCAAACCAAAGCAAGGAACATGGCCTCTCCCTGCCCAGGTCCCAACCCTCCCTCAACCTCCACTTTCCCCTTCTCCCTGCCCTGCCTCATAAGGACAGCACTGTGGGATGGGGCACTGGCTGGCTGTTTCAGGTATCCCCAGGTTCAGGGCTGTGTCCTTTCCCAGGGAGCCCTGCCTTGCCCCAGTTTCTACCCTTTGACCTCTGCACAAACAGACAATGCTGCACATTCCTCCTTCCCTTTCAATACACTCAGCCATCACCACAGCCACACCCCCAATGTCCAACTCAAGTATTTCTTGATCCTTGTTTCATTCTGCAGTTCCCAGGAAATGACCATCATTTCTTCACCCCCTAAATGCCCATGCACCCACTTGGGCAATATCCTCTTGTTTATCTCCGTTCTGCAGAGTGGCTGATTAAAAAAAACCCTAGAACAAAATTTGGGAACTCCTTTTCTTTTGGCAGGCCAGAGCTCTGCACAGCTCACCACTGCTCCAACTGTGAGCTTTCAAGCACTATGGAAGTTCAGTATTTAGTACTTGTTTAGATTAATCCAGCTGCAAACTAAGGACAAGCCCTTTCATTTTGGTACAAAGCCTATTTCACCTTTAGGGGTTGAAGAAAGCAGACACATGTACACATGAAGTACTTCAAGCCCTGCCCTAATGGCATGTTTTCCCCATTTGGAGTGCATGAGCACTATACAAACATGCAGGTCCCACATAGCTAAAGCCTCTTAAAATGTGCCTGAGCTATGGCTGCTGTACTGCTCCACAGCTGGGGCCTGCTGAGTGGGGAGCCCAACAGGCTTCATGGCCACAATTCCCCAGAGGCTTCAAAAGGACTTCCAGGGAGCTGGACTTGCTGTGTGGCACAGACCCTTGGGTGCTGAGCTTTCCCTGGGGAGATGAACATGAGTCATCAGTGTGACAAAATCATCAGCAAAGCTAACCACACTTTATAATGCATTAGCAGGTGCATGACAAAGAGAACCAAGGAGGTGATACTTCCCCTCTATACGGCATTGGTCAGACTGCAGATGGAGTACTGTGTCCAGTTTTGGGCGCCGTACTTTAAGAAGGATGTGAATAACCTTGAGAGGGTCCAGAGGAGGGCCACTCATATGGTTAAGGGTTTGCAGGCCAAACCCTATGAGGACAGACTAAGGGACTTGGACCTCTTCAGCCTCCGCAAGAGAAGGCTGAGAAGTGATCTTGTGTCTGCTTACAAATTTATTAGGGGGGTGCAAGGGATCGGAGATGCTCTGTTCACCAGGGCGCCTCTTGGGGTAACGAGGAACAATGGTCACAAAGTGACAGAGAGCAGATTTAGGCTAGACACCAGGAAAAACTTCTTCACAGTAAAGCTATCCAAAACTTGAAATGAGCTTCCAAGGGAGGTGGTGCTCTCCCCTACCTTGGGGGTCTTCAAGAGCAGGCTGGAGAGGCATCTGGCTGGGGTCGTCTGACCCCGGCGCTCTTTCCTGCCATGGACAGGGGGCAGGACTCAATGATCTGTTGAGGTCCCTTCCGACCCGAGCATCTATGAATCTATGAATCTATGATAAGTTCAAAACTACGGTGTGGGCCCTGGGCATCAGCTTGGAAATGGGGCATATGAACCTACTAGTAAATTGCCCATCAAGAATGATGGAGGGGACGTAAGGGGACAGAGACCCATGTCCGGGTCCCGCTCCTCCCCACCTCTCCCCTCCCCTCCCGTTTCTCCGCATCCAGCCCTGCTCCAACCCTCCCTCCTACTCCAGGTCTGGCCCTGCTCCACCCCCTCCTGCTCTACTGCTCTGGGTCCGGACCTGCTCCATCCTCCCCCACTCCCCACCGCGCTGGGTCCAGCCCCACTCCCCACCCCCACACCACTGCTGCGGGTCTGGCCCCAACCCTGCTGCTCCAGGTCCAGGCCCACTTCACCCACCCTCCCCGCTGCTCTGGGTCTGGTCCCCCCGTTCCGCGTCCACCTGGCCCGCGTCCGGCTGCCTCCCTGTCCCTCCCTGCTGCCCTCCCTGCCTGCCTGCCTGTCACCTCCCCCTCCCAGCTGGCTGTTCTGGCACAGGCAGGAGGGCGGGCAGGGGGGCGCCGCCTTTGTGATTCCCCCCTTTACCCTCAGGCAGGGAGGTGGGGGGAAGCCCCATTGCCCGGGTGGCCTGGGCGTGTTCACTGCCACCACAAAGTACCCCAGCAGCCTCCACCTCCATCTCCCCTCTGCCTCCTTGCCTGGGGCGGCAGCAGCAGCAGTAGTGGTGGTGGCAGCAGCTCCCACCCTGTGGCTGAGGTGGTGGGGGTGGTGGCAGCGACTGCAGCTCCCTCCCCACAACCTGCCTCCGCCTTTGCCTCCTCTTCCACCCCCTGCCTGAGGCAGCAGCAGTGGCTCCCTCCCCCTGCTCGCCTCCGCCTCCACCTCCGCCTCCGGAGCAGCGGGGCTTCCAACCGCCTCCCTGCCTATGGAGCCAATCGCCGCCGACCCTCCTGGCGGCGCACGCGCACTTGCCCAAAGTGTTATGGACAGACAGACACACAGAAACAGACTAAGCCCTTTATTATATTAGAATTGTAGTTTGCAGGCAGCTGCTGGAGGAAGGAGAGAAGCCAGGCA